TGAACGAACGCTAGCACAATATACACGACCTCTCAGCTTTGGTGAAACGTCGCGTCTACGCCAAAGGTGTTTCAATCCTGCGTATGCTGCTCGAGCCTTGGAAATGCGGGCGGTCATCTCCTTTGCTGCACTACCGTCATTGATCACGCAACTACCTAAGTAGGAAAAGCAATCCACCACAACTAAATACTGGACATTTAGTGTCAGAGCGGGAGTAGACGAAACCCAGTCCTGCAGCATCATTTTGAGCAGGTTATTCGGGATCGCGCTGTCCATTACATCGAACGGGTAGGTAGTGATAAGTGAGCTATTGCTCACATCCCAACCTTGGTTTAACTCAATCTTTCGTACCCAACCCTACCCTTTAACTCGTTATTCCGACCTCTACTAGTCCCTCAAGCAACTCAGATGTCGCTCGCCAAAGGTCGTTGCCCAATAGCACTGTAAGTAATGTACCATGAAATGGATTGCAGATTCTAAAGCCTAGTCAATCACTTAATCTGGGGGCTCTCAACGTAAGGACTCCGATGCAGGTAGGCCAACAAGCTTCTCTAGCTCGTACAATGGAATCCTTAGGAATCGATATTTGCTGCGTGTCAAGAGACTCGAATTCAGGATCCTACTACTCTAAGCCACTTGAGCGCGCCAGATTTTCCAACGAGATACGTTCTTCGCAAATCAGGCGACGATGAAGCTCGTTCAGTAGGTCAGCGCGGGGTAGGTATTGTACTCAGTAACAGGGCGGAGTCCTCTCTAAACGATTGGATCCCCGTCAATAATGGTTTATGTGTAGTGCGTCTCAAGGGTTCAATCAGCGTCCAGAAGGGAAGCAACACTTACCTGCAAGTCCAACTAAGTCGGAGCCTCAGCTCATCCAAATGCAGTTCTGATACACAAAAGGACGCTTTCTACGATGAACTCACCGATCTCATTCGGATGAGCTGAGGCTCCGACTTAGTTGGACTTGCAGGTAACTTCAATGCGCAGGTGGGAAAACTGAGCGCATCAGAAGCTTGCCTAGGCGGTAGTTGTGCTCTGCCCAGCCAACGAACGGATAACGGCGATCAACTTTTTCAGTTCTGTGCAGACCATCATATGTTTCTATGAAGCACCAACTTCCGACACAGCTATCGACAGACGGCAACGTGGCGCACCAGTTCAACTGG